CCATACTTTCTGTCGTTTGACAGCTGAAAAATAATTTATGGAATTTCTAATGCTGTAAGTTGTACAGTGGAATTAGCGGAAATTGCAGAACTCCAGAACTTTTCTCAGTTCATTTTTTTCTTCTGAACTACAGTCAAAGCCCAAATCGCCTCGGCTGCTATCTTTTCTCTGCAGGTTTTCAAGTTGAACAAAGTGCAAGAGAAGCAAAACCGCTAGAGGGCAACGCGTCCTACTGTCCTTCTGCAAACACTTCGAGCCAAATCAAGTCAAATAATCAAACGCAAATAATAAAGAGGTTCCAACATCGAGCTCCATCACTTGCTCGGGGGAACTTTAAGACACATTTAGCCGCCGTGACCAAACTGGGGACAGAAGGTAAAATGCTGGGCGCAGATCGCTATAAATACCTCGAGAAATAGGATGTTCAATTGCAACAAACTCAAATAAAGTTATTTCCTGTAGTTGGTCATTTTTTTCCCCCGGGGCTTTAATGTACAGCTGTATATTTCGGGTGGCAGTTAGCACCAAAGCAACAGTGAACTAACTATCCAGCGGTTAAGTCCTTTATTTTGGGGACAAGAGATCAGGAAAAGGAAATGTTGTAAAAACATGCAATGGATAGTGTTTCAACACACACGTGCTTTGGTGTTTAATTCCGGAGCCAATCCTTATTGCCAGAGACTCTTGAAATGAACTCATCGGGAACAAAGAGAAAATAGATCCCATCATATCCCATATAGGAGCTGACAGTCAGCAGAGACTCAAAAGCCTGGTTTCCTCGGCAGTGCTCAGTATAATGGTTTGTGCACGTTTTCTGTTGCACGTTACAATAGAAATCATATTTAACAGGGCGAGTTATTCACTTAAAACTGTGGATCGCCCGCCCCAGGCATTCGTGTAACATTAGAGCCCAAACTACCGAGGAGACTCTCTCACTGCAAAATGAGAAAGCCGAGGCTCTGTAGCAAAAAAAAACGTGAATGGCAGCAAACACAGAACAAACAAACTCCCGATCTGAACTTGTGCCAAGTCCCAATTTGTTCCTGACAGTATTAGTGTTGTTTCAGACATTCCTGCCGCGTGCGATCCGCGATATTTCGAATTAGTTTCAATTCGCTATTGCAAACCTCTTCTGCCCATCTCACTATCGACTTATTACCTAAATGACTGGATGCACGTTACTCACTTCTCACTAATGAGTACTCCAAGCTATATCGGGCTCAAGATGCAGTCTGCACAGCAGTGAACCAAATGCACAACTGGACACGTTGACTATAATCAATGCACTGACCTACCTGTCGCAGGTCACTTCACGCCCCCTCCCCACTCTTATTTTTGTCTACACTACACCTCTGCAGCAGCCAGGGCCAAACGTGCGGTGGAAGCAGATTCAGTATATTGACTTGGAAAGGGAATTGGATATTTGAAAAGGCAAACAAATTGGAAGGTTATGGGGAAAGAGTGCAGGATGAGACTAATTGGATAACTCTTCCAAAGAGCTCAGGCATTATGGGCCGAATGGCCTGATTCTGTGCTGTAAGATTCTTCCATTCTATAATTCTACCAATTTAAGACCAGTATCCGGTGAAGGGCGCACACCAATTTAAAATGTTTGCAATGTGCGTTTTTTTTTTCCCCTTTCAGCTTCTGATTGATCTGCTCTGTATTTTTATTCTGAGACTTTTCTTTAGCGTTCAAGTTTAGATTTTAATTTCCATTAGTAGCAGTATCTCTGTCTACCTAACTGTTCACCTGCTTTAACAGCAAGACATTGAATCTGTCCTATTTTTCCACTGCATCCCCATGTCTGTTCATTTATAAACAGCACTGGCTCAGTCATTAGTTCTCTTGTCTCTGAGCCTGAAGGCTGTGGGTTTGAGACCCAAGTCAAAACTTTGAGCTCACTGTCTGGTGTTTTTGCCAACAATTTCTCAGATGAAATTAGTCATCCACTTCACGGCTGTTCGTGAGGCACTGCTGCACACAATTTGGCTGACACCCTTGGCTACAAATATGCAGTCACTGCACTTTACAATAAATTCGTGAAGTGCTTTGACACATTTCAGTAATGCGATAATGTGCATTTTGTAAATTATTATTTGATAATAACTTGATGGACACTTTCACTGTACCTGCCTCACATATCCATATGTGCTCTTAACATTTATTTCACATTTCGTTTACACTTGAGGGTTCCAGTGACTGCACACTTGCCACCTCAGGCCTGCCCTTGATGAAAAATGGGGTGATATACTTTAAAAATATACGGTTATAAAGAAGAAATCCCAGTTGAGACCAACATCGCTACTGTATACTACAAAGATCGCTGAGCTGAATATCAGTCCTCAGGTGGCTGGAAACTCTTAAAGCAGATTTTCATTTTGTTCATGTGCGGAATCTTTGGGATCAACCTTTGGCCCAATCCCTGCTACCTGGGAATCAGGAAGAAGTGCCCAGAGCAAAGTCACATGATATTCAGTGTGGTTTCCTCTTCCACTTCAATTATTTGGAAAACAGTTGAATTCAGTGAGAAAAATCCCTAAAGTTCTGCTCAGTCTAAATGTAAAAATTAGGGTGGCCTTATCATTGTTGATCTGATTCAGGTCTTAAGTGATCTCTGAATCACAAACCACTTGTTAATGACACCATGGTTGTTCTTTGGATGCTGTAGATAGTCAATCGTTTTGTAATGTTTATATTCTTTTTCATCTTTTCCTCATCTTGGGTGTTATTTGTTTGCCATCCTCGACAGCTTTGTTTCAGTCAAATTGTTCCAATTCTGATGAAGCGTTGCACACAAAAACACAAACCTAAATATTTCAGGCGCTGGTTAACCTCCTGTTTTACACCTTTCGTTTCACATTTTTTTTAACTTCAGATTTCTATCTTGTGGCCTTTTAAATATCCGTAGTATTCCGTAGCAATCATGTCTGATGTCAAAATACATTAATTAAGAAGATGTTCAATTTGTTTCAACAAACGGCAATAAAACAGCAGAGAATGATCTTGCCACAAACCAATCCATACAATGCTACTATCAAATTGAAACTCATTTAAAAAAAAAGATACTTGGATTTCTTGCAAATGTTGAATCGTTATTTATTTTGCTTTCAATGAACTGGCTGTTATCAGACGGTGGGATCTATAAATCTGCACATACCAGTGTGTGACCCCTGAGCAAATCTTAGCATGGGAACGAAAGGATGCAAAATTTCGGCCACTAAATCTTAAAAAGTCCTACTGCAAGTTTAAGACTGAAAAAGATCCAATATTTTACTGTATAACCCACGACTGCAGTGTGTGCTCTGCTCAGTACTGTAGGTGTCAACCTTTATGTGGGTACATTTTAAGCGATCTGCGCTTTTTTTATCCGATGGGCTATTATTCCTGTCTGCGGTATGGAATTTATGTCTTGATTTTCTTCTTTAAATACCTTCACTGAGTGAAACCTAATATTTCAATATGTTTCGGATAATTAATGGCCAGTCAAAGCCATACGTTTAAAAATAAACATCACAGAGTGCTCAATGCGCCCCCGCCTCTGACAGGCAATGGGGTGTGCGATGGACTACACCGTACGTTGCAAGAATACTTGTAAACTTTTGTGCAAATTCAAATGTTTGCCTTTCATTCTCTGCCCCACAAAATCAGTCGGTGCAGTGCACGACAGTAATCAGAATCGCCACTAAAGCGCGTTGAGATGTTTAGACGTGATGAAGGCACTTTGAACATTGCAATATTTTTTTCTCTTCGCAAATTTATTCAGGAAAGAGAAGAGAAAGATGGGGAGGAGGGGGTGGGGGGGGGGGGGGGGTGGGGGGGAGTGAGAGAGAGCGCAAAGAATCTGTCTTTGAAAGGCAACACAACCTGCAGGGCAGAGGCAAGGGGTGGGGGGGGGGGGACAGACTCGCTTGCGAATCTTTTTTGGGGTTAAAAAGCGCATCAGTTGATCTGGAATTCACGCGTTAGCCTTTTAGTGGGGCTTTAACACAGCACAGGGATGGCAATGTCGATGTGACCAAATCGAATGGCTGTGACTTCTCTGGGGGTGGGGGGGTGGGGGGTGTGGGGGTCACTTTTTTATGCCCCCCGTGCAAAACAAAATAAGAAGCAATCACATGGAAAGTAAAAGTCAGTGGACGGATAAGTGTCCTCTGGGACCCCCGGGAGCCCCTTGTCCTGGGGCGAGAGCATCAGCTGTGGTGCTGGATGCAGCGAGTAGCCCCGGTGCAGACAGTGACAGGACAGTGACAGTCTCCCCCCCCCCACCACCCCCCCGGGAGCAGGGGTTTGATACAGATGCTGTTACTGACTATCTGGGGGTGGGGGGGGGGGGAGAGGAGGAGGGGGCTGAGCGCGCATGCGTTGCTGCTCCCTGCCGGGGTCCCCCTGTAACAGCGCAGCGCAGTTACAACATCAGCAATAGGGCAGTGCTGAGTGCACTCACTCACTCTCATCACTCACTCACTCACTCACTCACTGTTTGCAGGGTTGAAAGGGAAGGGAGAAAACACTTGAGGGGGTGGTGAAGACGCACAGACAGAGAGAGAGAGAGAGAGAGAGAGGAAGAGGAAGAGAGAGAGAGAGAGAGAGAGCGAATTCCCAAATGTAGCCGAATCGATTCGCACGTCGGAAGCCGCATCCCTGACCGATCGCTTCACTGCCTCTCCTGCCTTCTCCTGCCTCACTGCCGTGCATCCTGCTCGCCGGGGCTACCAGAAACTCCCCCACCACCACCACCCCCCCCCCACCCCCCCTCCAAAAAAAAGAGAGAGAGAGAGAGGTGGGAAGAGAAGACGAGTGCAAAGAAGAGAAGAAAAGAAAGAGAGAGATAGAAAGGGAAACAAAATCCCTTTTTTCTTTTTTTTTTAACCCCCCCCCCCCACCCCCCCCCTTCCCTCTCCTCCCCAACCACCACCACACCTCACCCTCCACCCTCCAACCCCCCTCCAAACCCCTCCCCTCCCCCTCCCCCCCCCCCCCCCTCCCCGGAAAAAAAAAAAGAAACAACTGATCGAGATGCAGATTCATCCCAGCGAGGGGGAGAGAGGGATCGGGACGATACTGTAGGAGACATGATCGCTGAGTGTGTGAGCGGCGCGGTTGCTATTGCTCTGTATCTGAACACACTGAGCGCTGATTTCTGCTACGATGACAGGTAGGTATCGCTTCCTCTGCACTTCCTGACGGCTGTCAGCTGCTGCCCCGGGCACAGGGTACACAAACCGTGTCCCCCCAGCAACACCTTGAACCGAATGCATTAGATTTAGGTGTGTGTGTGTTGGGGTGAGGGGTGGGGGGTAGGGGGTAGGGGGGGGGGGGGGGGTTGCTCCTTCTCGGGGAAGTGGGAATGATTCCTGTTTCGTGTTCCATTTCTTTTTTAAATGCTGCTGGAGATTTAAAACTCCGATCCCCCCCCCATCGCAGGGACTGCCGGGGACAGCGGATTGAATGGATCTGCGAATGAATCCTGGTCCTCCCAGCCGGGAGAGAGAATCTACCTGGGATCCCTGTCACTGGGGGCAGCGATCCCCCACCCACCACCCACCCACCCACCACCCCCTCCCCACCCACCACTACCACCACCCCCCCACCCACCACCCCCCCCACCCACCACCCCCTCCCCACCCACCACCCCCTCCCACCCACCACTACCACCACCCCCCCACCCACCACCCCCTCCCCACCATCACCACCACCACCCCCCCCCCACCCACCACCCCCCCCACCCACCACCCCCTCCCCACCCACCACCCACCACTACCACCACCCCCCCCACCCACCACCCCCTCCCCACCCACCCACCACCCCTCCCCACCCACCCACCACCCCCTCCCCACCCACCACTACCACCCCCCCGACTGCAGTCACACACACACCCCCACCCCCACACAGACCCTGGCAGCACTGTGTGTGTCAAACCACCGCATCTTTCAGGAGATTTCTTTATTTTTTAAAAAAAACACAAGTTACAGGGAAACCCCATCATTTATATATTTTTTAAAAAAAGGCGATTGATCGTCTGTTCACCGCAGTTCTGTTGCGCCCAATGCCTGGGGGTGTGTGTGTGGGGGGGTGGGGTGTGTGGGTGTGTGTGGGGGGGGGTATGTGTGGGGGTGGGGGGGGGTGTATGTGTGTGTGTGTGTGTGGGGGTGGGGTGGGGGTGTGTGTGTGGGGTATGTGTGGGGGTGGGGGGGGTGTATGTGTGTGTGTGGGGAGGGGGGTGGGGTGGGGGTGTGTGTGTGGGGTATGTGTGGGGGTGGGGGGGGGTGTATGTGTGTGTGTGGGGGGGTGGGGTGGGGGGGTGTGTGTCGGGTATGTGTGGGGGTGGGGGGGGGTGTATGTGTGTGCGTGTGGGGGGTGGGGGTGTGGGGGGTGTTGTTTCACTAATATTAAGTGGAAGGTCATTCCTCGTTTAAGCAATTTCTGGAGAAATAATAAAAGGTGTCAGCGCTGTTGTCTGAGAAACTGCTGAAGTCTGTGTGAAATGCTAAGTTTAGTTGGTGTTTGACTGGTGTTGGGGGCAGTGTGTTGAAGTCCGGGATTGTTGGGGATTGATTAAAAGTGCTCAGCTATTGTGGATCTGTTGAGTTTTAGTGCAGGTTTCCGATGACTTAATCCGATTTCCATCCAGTGGATGCACATTGAGAATATGTGAGGACAACTTCACTGTCTCGGTTGGTTTTTTTTTTCTCTCTCTCTCTGTCTCTCTCAGACATTCCCAGGGATTTGGGGGTGAGGAGATGCCACAAGACTCGAGAGCATCATTGAAAGCGATGGTCCAATTCAGTCGGTCGGTCGGACACTGACCATTATCTGTATCGCGGCTCGGGTTGTTTTGGCGTGAAAAAAGGTCAGAGAGATAGAGTGACGCTCGTTTTATTAGTTGTCGAAAGTCAGAGCGAGGAGATGAGGCTGCAGCATCTCATCGAAGGGGAGAGTTTGCTGCGGTCATACAATAATAATCCTTGCCTTTTGAGACGGCGCTTTTCGCGTCTTCAAGACGTCTCAAAGTGCTGTACAATATACTGTAAAATGAATTGACTGCATATTTGTGGGCGAAACGCGGCAGACAATCGAGCACAGCAGTGTCCCACAAACAGTCATGGATTGAAGGCTCCACCTTATTATTCTTTTTGTTTCTTGAAGGATTATTATCAGCCGTGTGGAGCAAGGAAACTTGTTCAGTGTTTTGTCTTGGCGGGAATCGAACCCAGGTCTCTTGATTGTGAGGCGAGTGGTCTAACTTCTGAGCGACAGGACTCCCAATATACGTAGGAGAGACAGTGTTTGTGTATAAAATAACAGAATCAGCGAGCCCCCTGAGAAGAGGAGGGGGGGGGGGGAGGGCGGGGTGAAGCAGTTGACATCTTAGGTAAAAATGTATCTTAAATATCAATTCTACCATCATTGCCGGTGGTAAGATTTGTATGGGAGAGAGAGGCAAATCACTTGAGGGAATGCAGATCCATTCAAGTTAATAGTGCACTGTTTTTAACTGATGTGAGCTATGCTATTTTTTCTTAAATTGTATACATAAAACACATTGTTATGCGTTACTGAAGTTAGACTTAGCAAGTCTAATTTGTAGTCCGATTAAGAACACGTATGCAAGGCAAGTTTATATCCAGCAAAGGGGTCATCAGATGTAACAATAAATAACGTGCATTTTTTTTAATAACACCATTAAGAGAGCCCTTCACTAGATCGTTTCTAGGTTCTCATATCGTTCAGTATTGGTGGTCTGATGAAATAGAGAACCATGTTTCATTAAAATAAGTCAGAAAGAAATTGAAAACACCCCACAAGGGTTCTTGGCTAATGCTTTGTTACTTCTGTGGCTGGTGTTGGTATATATTGGTTAGTTCCCTTAGTTTCTGCTGCTGTTGATATCAATAAGCAGTATGAGGGGGGGGGGGGGCTGCATTCCTTTCTAGGTGACTCAAAAAGTATAGTGTCGTCTGTATTGCAGATCCTTGCCTACATAACTGAGTAAAATTAAGACTTCATCGATTATGACTTTTAAAAGGTATTGAAAGGTGAATAAATTACTCTACTCCATCTTCCATGGTTAGAATCGATCTTTCTTTTGTATTGCCAGGACCTTGTGATGAACAGCCTGGCAATCCCAGTTGCTATTCTGTCTCTTCATTGGCATTTCTCCCAGAATTGCAATGGGAATGAGCAATAGTGAACAAAATGTATTATATGGTCTTGGTATTACAATCCTTGCACCTGGGTGTTGGGTATACAACTTAATGTTACACAATATGCTAATTACAACAGTGGACTACACATAATAGGTGAGAAGAAACTAGTTTTCACTGGTATTATTGTGATGTTAACTTTCTATGTTTTCCCTCATGTTTTGGAAAAGTCTACGTAATTTAGTTTAGACTAAAGGTTTTTAGAAAACATTTGCCTTTCCATTTATTGAAATCGACCACACAGTTTAAATCCATACTCTAGATGAGTTCCTGCAATAACTTTATCCTCCAATATTGATGTGAAAATATAATTGTGTGTTGAAGATTTGTGTGTGATTATCTTTACAAAACTCACCATGAAAAGAGTAGCCGTTTGATTGTGCATATCATGTTGAGAATAAGTGCAGACAATGGCAATATTGTACTTTTAAGACACCTATAAAGGAATATGGAAACAGCTGTAACAACTTGCATTTATGTATCAGCTTTCATGTAGGTTAATGTCTCGAAGCATTTCACCTTAGCGGTGCACATCACCAAGCAAGACAGGAAGGGGGAGTTAAGGATGTTGCTAAAAGGCATGGTAAAAGAGAGAGGTTTTTAGAAGGTTTTTGAAGGAAGTCAGAGAGCGTGGATGGAAAGGGATTTTGGTAGCGTCCAAGAGAGCAGAGTCATAGAGGCTGACAACTCAGCCATCGATGGTGGGACAGAAGCTCTGTAAAAGAATGGGGATGTGGGAAATTGCAGAAATATAGGGTAAGGCAAGATCTTGAAGGGATTTGAAAGTCAGGTGGAGAGGATCTTAAAGTCGATTGCACTGAATGCAACATCAAAACAAGTAATTTTATAATGGCTGTGAATTTAGGACGGTAGTTCAAAGCTCAAGGTTCAGAATATAATTTATTCTCACACCTGAAGCTTTTTTGATTTATTACAGGCTTGTAATTTCTTGATGGTTATTCGCAGCCTTGACTGTTATGAGAAGAACTGTTGTCTCCTGAACCTGTTGGATTAAGTGGGCAAGTCCTGCACAACAATTGACCGTGTGTCCAATCTTTTGATTTGAGAACAGTCCAGTACTTCCCAGAACGTTGTCGTACCAACATTGCACAAGCACATTTGCATAATGCTGTGATCAGTGTTTTAACTGAAAGTTACCGAGAGCCTGAGAACCAACTGCTCTCATTCATAAACAATAGACCTGTAATCTCTTTTGTGCCGAGATCCTGATCACGTAGGACTCTCAAAAAAATACTGCAGTCTTCTTCAAAGCCAACATTTCAATCACTATCCCAGCTTCCTGAATCCAGATTCTCCCAAGATTTTTCCAGCTCAGAAACTCCAGAAGTTAAGACTACCCTCACCTAAAAAGTTTCCCAATTCAACTTCTGAATATAAGCAAAAGTAATGTCATTTATTCTCAAAGAAGAACTTACACTTTTTATGGCACTTACAATGTCAAAAATCTTTCAGTAAAATACTACCATGGACAGTACGTGAAGTGACTATTGTTTTGTAGGTAAACAGAAATAAGCTGCCAACAATTACTTTGAGATATATAATAATAATTTTACTTTGAACTGATTTTTTAAAAATTATTCTTATGCATACTGTATTTTATATTTTCCCATCCTGAGGCATTCAGAACATTTGGTTGAGACAGATTATTTTTTGAGACAGCTTATTTGTGATATTTTGGAAAGACCTTGTAAATCTGCAACTATAACTTGTTTTAGACCTGGCAGCAGTTAATTTCACAACTTCTGATCTGAAGTGAGTCAGATCAGTCCAGTTGTTGTAGCGTTTACAGTGAGATCTGGGACCAGAATACATGTCAGATGGCATCACATTGCCTTTCTGCTACATTTTTGTAAGGAAGATGGTCAGCAATTCAGATCAGGGATTGGAATAGGAGTTTAAATTGAATTAATTTAATTTTTTTTAAATAAGT